GATGCTTCATCAGCTCTACAACGGCTTCACGACCAGAATCTCGCCATTTCATAAAAAAGTTATCATCGACGTAAAGATAGCGGTTTTGCATGGCGGTACCATCTCACCCGAACTCTTCAGTGCCGCTATCGAGAACATGGGAGGACAGGAAGAGATTGTCGACAAACGCTACTTACATGATCTCCACTTTGCAGATGACATCGCGCTTATAACACCAGACCCCGAGCAGGGGAACAGATGCTAATTGGACAACGCTTGTGGAAAGATTGGTTTATGACGAAACCTATCGGAAAAGATGTTCATGTGAACGGGTCGAAACCTGATGCTCCTTTCACGTTGAACAGAACGAAAATCTCTGAATGCTTCAGCAACATGTGTTTGTGCCTAGGAGTCGCAAGATGAACGACTTGGCACCTAAGCTGAGCATAAGGAAACGCGCGACGAGGGAGCATTTAAATGCATAGTTCACGATAAAAATGGTTAATGAGTTCTTCAATTAAAATACTCAGTGGTTCCCATGGGTGGTAGAAGGGTCTCTCGCTCCCAAATTCTTGACGGTCAGGGCATAGTGGAAGCTCAGCGCTGTCTTGGTTCGCTTTCTCGCCTCTCTATCGATGTCACGTTAGACGAGTGTCGAGGCAATGCAGATTGCTATTATTCGTTCTAGGACCCATACACAATCAGCTGATCACCGAGTGTGAGGCGATGTTTTTCTTCCATTCTTTTTCCTCTGTTATTCTTTTTGCTGCTGCGATCCCTCTTTTGATTTCCCACCAAAAGAGGGCTAAAAAAGTGAGCTATTTTTGCTTTAAGTAGGTTTATTGTTTACTTATGCCTATAAGCGGATGAATTTTTGCGTACCGTAGTCAGATATTTGCTCCAGGACCCACACGTACGCAATGACGCGCTCTGTGTGTAGCTCATCCAAACGCCCAACTCCTCTTCATTCTTCTGGTCTCACTCTCGTCCAGCCCCCTTTTTAACGATTTTTCGAAGCCTTTTTCCACTTAGGGAACACGATCCACGCAGTTCTTTCGCCTCTATCGCACTATTTCGATCTTATCTTCCATTTTTCGTCATAATCTGGGTTACCCAAAGTTATCGTGAACTGTGCCTTTAATAACACCGAGTTAACAATGAAAAACGCAAAAAACATCCGGCTCACCTTTCCGACACTGCCGTCCTTCCTGCTTTGACGTACACCTAGGAGACTTGGACTACGAAAACAGTATGAACATGCCGTCACCGTTGCTCAACGTATCTTGGAAAACAACGACTCTCGAGCATACGGAGTTCTTTAGTGAAAAGGGCATCCGGAGCTCCGAGCTCCAACAACGAACGAAGATCAGGGATGCCGTGATCATGCCAAGAAATCGAAAATTTTGGGGGGGGGGGGGG